TGATGGTACTCAAAATATGTATTACTGGTTCTATTTTAAATTTGTATTTCGTTTTTCTTTACCCGACAAAAGATAATTATTAATTAATAATTATAATTATGTTATTCGAGAGTGGGCATGTATGTATCTATGTATGCCTATTTCTTTGGCAAGCTCTGTAACCTAAAAAGCTTTATAGATACATAATATGATTGTTGACAATTGTAGTCAATATGTCAATTATTCCAAAAAAAAAAAAATAATATCACAATATTTCACAATGCACATTTGCATATTGTGCAGGATCACATTTAGAATTTAATATTATAAAAAATCGATTTTTAAATTTTAGGCAGATTACGCCCATCTGGTTCATAAGCCATGACTTACAACAATGAAAACGGAACAACTTTTTATTTTATATATTTCCATATTTTCTATGCCAATATGGAATAATGATTTCTTATATTTACGCGACAACATTGCACATGATTAAAACTACTTTTACGGATTTTATCGCGTTTATTTTTACTTTTTATATTTAATACTCGACGTTTCGGGCGCTTTCCAGCACCCATGGTCACGGGGGACTGGGATGACTGACGTCCCGATGTCATTGTTAAACCCGGAGTACCTTCAGCTTTTTTAATTATTGTTTATGGTCCGATCTATGCAAAATGAACTGACTATGTCTTGAGGTCTTGCAGTGGTATGCTTGGGTTTAGTTTTAATTTTATTGATTATAGGATCCCAAGCAGGTGGTAGTACCCAGCCTCCTTCTCTATTGAAATTAGAATATTTTTTAATTTCAATAGCCTCACGTAATATCCTTGGTAGGAATCGGTGTTCTTTCGCGAGGATTTGTGGTCTATCAAATCTGATGTAATGGTTGGAACCCTAAAAAGAGACAATTGTTACTGTGGTTACATCTTGCTCTTTTGCGCCCTCCTTTCTGCCAAGGAGGGTCGCGTTCGTATACGGCTTAGAGATCTCTAGTCAGATCGTTAAGCCAATTCCTAAAAGGTTGGGTTTAGTGGGTAAAAGTCACCACATAACCACGCAGCCGGCTGCGTGGTATGCTATGAGCATTCCCAACCTCCCTCCCCCGCTTTCCGGAGGGTTGCCCATAAATGCTTCGGACGCAAAAAAAAATCTTGCTCTTGCCTCTATCTATAGGTATCCAATAAATATGTTTTTTATTTATCTACTAGCTTGCTGGGCAGATGTTGTTCCGCCCTTTTCGACGACCTGTTAAAAATCCTTAAATTCGCAAAAAAAATTGTGGGTCACTCATGGACAAAAAACTATTCTATCTCTCAAGTTGGACCAAACTGCACACGGTGTGCAAATTTCATTAAAATCGGTTAAGTAATTTAGGAGTCCATCGCGAACAAACAATGTGACACGTAATTTATATATATTAAGATTATATATAAGTGAAATATCACTGACTGACTAACTCATCACGAGACCTCTAAAACTATACACACAATTGACTTAAAATTTTGTAGTTACTCATTTTGCAATGTAAACAATCACCAAGAACAGATTTTACGATAATCTAGATAGATACGATTTTTTCTTGATATTTAAAGTGAAGTGAGCAGGTATCAGCTAATAACTAATAAACCTAAAAACTTTAAAAATAATTTCCCCATATTTCCTCATAAAAGCCGTTAAGACATGCATCAAACAAAACAATTGTATATTGATTTACATTTTACAATAAAATCATCAAAAATTTGTGCCGCATGATACTAAAAAGAGTCTTAATTTCAAATTAATGCATAATATAATAGGAATTGAAACCAAAATATATCAATTACTTACATGACATTATACTCTTGAGTAGTAAAACAGGAAACAGAATAGGCAATTAATCAATTAGCAAGACATGATTTCATATGGTAGACATGGAAAATTAATTAAAAATCAACACACAACTTTAATGCTTCATGCATTCCAATCACAAATTTAATATCACATTTCTTTGCACAAAGTCAATGAAAAAATTATTGTTTTTTAAAATACATACATTTATCTAAAATATAAGACTATAAAAGTTTTAAATGCATTATTTGTACATACATTATAAATAAAAATTGCACAAAAATGTTGTATGTATAATGAAAACTAAACAAACATGAATTCTCTGTTCTCTGCAATCTAATGTTATTATAGCACCTATTTAAAAAAATATTAAAAGTTATTTTAATGTCACCCTTAGACCATGTGCACTACATGGTAACATTACTGTCCAAAATGTCATGCTATTGATGATAAAAACATGGACATATTACATATTCGCGTAATTTTACAACGTTGCACACTCAGTGTCAGGTTTGTGAACTAAATTGAATTTAAGTAACCCTAAATTTAAGTTTAATATTCGCTTTAGCACAATCACTACCAAGCATTACAACAAAAATTTGGATCCTTTTGAATGGATTAATAAATACCACAAGCTCAGGGTAACATTTTCCAAAAATTTACATCACAAATCGCCCCGTGCAAGAAAACCATCAGACATACAAGATAATTAATTATCTATTTTATTATATTAGTTGCAAATACTTTTATAACACAGACTAACTGCATGCGAAAATGAACATTAGAAAGTATTCTATTCGACTAATAACATTAAACGCCGCCACCTACACCAAACGTCATGTGGTATGTAAAAATGACCAGAGATGCCCAATCAATTGTAATCGATGTTTTGAATTTTTAATAAACTGTTGCAAATTTTTTAATCTAAATCACATTTTGATTTTATTTCGAATAAAGTGCAAATAGAAAGTACAATAAAAACAGTCAATCACCATTCCTCTTTGCTATTCCTAAAAAGTATACTTACACTTACACTTACACTTTTAAATTAGGTAGTTAGAATAATGCTGAAGTTTTCTAATGATGGTTTAGAAAAGAGTGTGGTTTACTTCTAACTAAAAATTTACGAGTTTATAATAATTGAAACAAAACAAAACACACTTATTGTTACTTCATGAATCATATATGTTTTCTTTAAAAAAGGCAATATTGCAGACTAGATACAGATGTTATAATTAATAATGTTACAAGTATAGAAGAAGTAGAGAAGTATAGTTTAATTAATAGAATCAGGCGTTACTCAGAGACACCACCGCAGAGTGTACATCACCTGAGGATGTCTTGTGTAGAGGCAAAACACATGTTGTATTATCATCGATGGTGTGCGTTTCCTAGTGTAGATATTTTTTACACTTAAAAGCAAATTAATCTAATCAATATTAAAGAAAACCAATAGCTTTACCCTTTAAAAAAAAACTAATGCTAAAAACAAGTATCCACATGCAGACTATTTATTATACAGCATGGAAACACTTGTTCAGTGCGGGAACAAATCCTGAGTGCTGCAGTACTGCAGCCAAACACTTAACCACTGCACTATGGAGTCGTCATTTATTTTTACTTAATTAATTACTAGTATAATTATGCATTGTTTATTTTATACACATTTTTGTACCTAATAGTCGTAGAGATATAATTATAAATTGCTGTATGTGTAAAATACATTGATTTCTTATCCTCATAGGTATTTATACTCAATCCACATGTAAAAACTTTTATTTGTTACAAATCAGTATCAAGATCTAACTTTTATTATATAAAAATTATGATAAACAATATATCGACAAAATTATTCGAGGATAGACATTTCGGCACTAGTATAATCCGCCTATGTTGTCACCACTGTTATTCAAAAAAACAAATGTCATTTCTTGATGTTGGTAGAATAGTTTGGCGCTCTTTCATACCTTACACACATTTACTTTTACTAAGGATTAAGGGAGTCCTGCCTCTTAAACATAGTGATTATGTTATCTTTGTTACACATATTCAATGGAAAGTTTATTTTGTGTAAATTGCAGCTCTGCTGGTGGTTTTGTTTGGAAGATGGTACTTAAAATTATTAAATGTTTCAGGATATTGTTTTTCAGTTTCTTAAAAATCACACTAAATTATAAAAACCATAATATTAGTAGTTCTATTATAACCTCAAAATCTAATACTTTTTTTGAAATATATATTTTCTGCAGCTAGTCTGCTATAATTCCCCCATGATCGACAATATATCACACAATTTTACGATGCTCTTGGTTCCAGGGCGAACAATGTAAGGGCGCGGAGCAATGTCTTTTCATCCCAAATTTATTGCATGCATATTTTATTGAAATTTTAATGAGGTTCCATTTAAATAGGAGTCTTAAAAATTGACAGTAAATAGACAATCAAATAAAAAGAAGTCTTTAAAATTGGAAAAGATACTGCATACTATACATCATAAATAGTCAAATTACAATTTATAGAACTCAGTCTCTTTTTTGAAGTTTATAAAAAAGATAAGTCAAAATATATATAAATTAGTCTTAATATAAAAAAATAAAGCTTAATCTGAGAAAACAGAATTAAGCAGGGACAAGAATTTATTATGCAACAAATGGTAACATTGACAAACTGTATGGAATGTAAAATGAAGAACTCGAATGGTTAAAATTACAGATTATCCACAACACATAATTGTGAATACAAAATGGTGGTCTGATATATCAGATCATAAAAAACCGAAAATTATAGACTAATTTTACTACTTTATTTATCGAATGTACAAATATACTTTGTAAATTGACTAATATATATTGAATCTAGCTATGTATAAAACTTCATTTCCTAATAAAGTAGATAGAACCTTTTAACATAAAATGTATTACTTCTATTCATATTTAGTAAATAATAATGTAATTTTATTCACTACTATGCATAGAAAATTTGAGTTTTATTTAGTTAGTTATGATTGATTATTAATTATTGAGAATATTAACTGTACTCTTTTTCAAGAAAATGTGATAATTATTATTTCCAGTTACTCTAGTTTTAGTAGTGCAAGTAGTATATAAGTCACTTTTTGCTCATGATCTATGATTACCTCTAGAGTTTTACATAAGTAAACAAGGTTTAAGTAAAACATCACAATAACTTACCCCTGTTCTTCCAGGCTATCCTCAAGCTCTGCACATTTTACTTCAATCTTCCTCTTCCTTTCATGATCAAGTATTTCACGGTTAGGCTGCTTGTTTGATGATGAATCCAACTTTGCAATCTCTTCTTCAGTCCGATAATTCACAGAATCCTTGGTTTTCCTCACCGTGGCCCAATTTCTTTGAACATAGCCATTAGTTCCTGATCCTCTCGGAGTTGTTAATCCAATGCCATTATACATTTTGTTGTTATATTTTCTATAACATAATTTACATTAATTAATTAGTAAAATAAGCAAAATTCTATCTACGCGGCGGGGCTAATGAACATGCGTAGACAAAATAAAACATCTTTTATCGACTAGATCTTCAACTCTACAAATTAGATATGTACATTCACCACGTAGGAAATAAAAATAGGTCAGATTTATAAATATCTCACCACACTTATGCAGCTCAAGAATTTTTACTAGTAAAACGCACGTCCATCTTGGCTGAAGAGCTTTGATTTTATTTTATTTTGTCTGTCGTAAGCTTCAAGGCCGTGTATAGTCCTATAACCATAGATAAATAAATATGTAGCAGCTTATGTTTTAAGCAAGCTAAGGTCGTAACTCGTAATTACATAGTCAGTAATCTATGCTCGTAATCTCTCTATGGTGCAATATGCTTTGGTTACGATTCACCACTTAAGACAGGCAAAGACTTGAGACCGTACAGACTATTCTGATGTTTTTGAATTAATTTTTTTTCCATCATATGCTGATGCATCACTTAGCGAAGTTTTAGGTAAATTTTGGAGGCGGCGACACCCAGCAGATAGTTGATGACATCAATAATCCAGGTTCATAAGACACTTAAGCTATAGTGGGTAGAGGTAAGGAGGACTATATGATATGGGAGAGAAGATGAAAAAGTGTCCGGCTGTATGCTGTTAATAACAGTTCAAAAACTTTTTAGAATGGCGCTTGCTTAGATACATGGTATAGTGTGTGTATGGTTTGTAAGGCCACACACTTTTTAGAAGAGTTGTAGTTAGTTGATGAGCACGCCAGAAGGAAAAGATCACTAAAGTTAAAAGTTTAATTAAAAAGCAAAATAATTATAAAGTTAGAGTGGCAGATCTTTCCTTTAGTAGTTGGTGTTCAGAAGCACGGTTGTAGACGTACTGCCGATCGTCAGCTTGCAATTAAATAGGTAAATTTATATACACATGACACCCGGCTAAAGTAGGTTGCAACATTTACTAAATAAAAATGTGTGGTGTAACCATACAGTGTGAATGTAGCAGTCTCTTTGAGTATTCAATCATCCAGAAACGCCATGTGCGTTAATTTCTAAACAAAAAGTCTGTCACTTTCAAGGGGAGGCGAGGAAACACACTACTCTGTACGTCACTACGAATGCAAAATTGATTAATCCGTTGGGCTATGTCGGTCACTCTGGTACAACTACGAATATCATTATTTCTAAGTTTATTATGCAGAAATTGAAGAATTGCCGTGTAGTGGCGGTTGAGAATATCCACTACCCCATATCTTCCCGTGGGTGTCGTAAGAGGCGACAGAGGGAGACAGGCAGGAGATGGGAAGCAGCATCTTCCTGATAACGACTGTGATATAATAAAAAAACTTCCCGCTCGCCAAGCGTGGCAACTATGGCAAATATCCCCCCATGAATAACGACGCAAAAAAACGGCACCCAGTCCCCTGCGGCCCCGCTATTCCTGGCTACGGTGGCGACCATGGTAACGGCGGGGCAGGGGGTGCTAAGAATCTCCGGTGGAGGTTCGGTTGCCACCTACGACGACTCGACCTAGCAACATATAACGCACGCACCCTGAGGGCTGACGAGAAGATACTAGAGCTGGAAGAAGAGGTAGACAATTTGCGCTGGCATATTATTGGATTATCCGAGGTCCGAATAGAGGGGGAGGACACGGTGATTCTCGAGCCGGCAACTTGTTCTACCACCGGGAGGGCGACCATCTGTCCCAAGGAGGTGTCGGATTTATCGTCCACAAGTCTCTCGTCAACAACGTTGTAAAGATTGGGAGTGTGTCGACGAGGGTCGCGTACCTGATATTCAGAATCACCAAACGGTATTCGCTGAAGGTTATACAGGTCTACGCACCAACCTCGGCACATCCCGATGAGGAGGTGGAGGAAATGTATGAGTATATTTCTAGAGCCATGCATTCCTCCAAAAACCACTACACGGTGTTGATGGGAGACTTCAACGCAAAACTAGGCACAAGAGAAGGGGGTGAGCTGAAGTTAGGGAAATTTGGAGTAGGGCGAGGATGGAATTACAGCGGAGCTTCTGAAAGCGGGTGGAACACCGGTACTTGAAGTCCTTCAGAAGCTCTTCAATTCCGTCCTCCATGGTGGCACTACTCCGGAGGCGTGGAGCAGAAGCGCGGTAGTCTTGTTCTTTAAGAAAGGCGACAACGCTCTCTTGAAGAACTACAGACCGATTTCCCTACGGAGCCGCGTCTACGTGCTGTTTTCGAGAGTCATTACGAATCGTCTCGCACGCAGACTCGACGACTTCCAGCCGAACAAGCCTTTTTTTCAAGCAATTCCTCGGTGAGCATCCATGACCAACATACTCCACTCCTGAGCGCTCAGGCTGCCCCACGTATTCTGGAAGGGAAAAGGGGGCAACTGCTCGGGCAAACTGAGCAGCAATACCAAGGCGACCCCTGCCACGCTATCCGTGAATTTTTGTACATATCAGGGACTACACTCAAACCTAAAACGCCGTCCACTACCATCTCGAGACGTCGAAGCCGGCTCTGCTCTTTCTGACTGAGACGCAGGTGTCCTCTCTGGCTGATGCTTCGTATCTCTCCTACCCGGGGTAACTGGAACAATCCTTTGTGCTGGTTGTATCCGTCAGAGAGAACATTTCTGTTCTTGACGCCTTGGCAGTCTTGAAAGTTCGGACCTGTCTATCCTTTGGCTACGCGTAGACCGCGACGACCATCCGCGCGTCTACGGGTGCCTCTATAGGTCCCATAGTGGTAATGCCAAAACAGACCAACTTTTCGACCACATCCAAATGGGCTCAAGATTCGTTGCTACAGCAAATCCGCTCCGAAGAGATCGTGATCTTCGATGATTAAGATTAAGTGTGGTTTCACCTATGCTGAAATGAGTTTGGCATTATAGGTCAGCCGATTGGGATAGAATAGGTCTTTCTTTGCATCTTACCCTTGGGGGCGGGTTTGCTTCTCGCCAGGCGATCCCAACATTGTTGCTGATTCGATCGCTGATGTGGTAATTCAGGGTATGGAACTTTTTATTCCTTCTTCTGTGGTGCCCATCGGAGGCAGATCTCAGCCATAGTATAGTCGCTCCTGTAAACAGCATCATGCTATAAACAGAAGTGCTACCGGGCATGGGCTGACATCCGCGGCCTAAAAAAGAAGTATAAGTCCGCCTCTAAGTCCTTCAAAAGAGTCATTGCCAAGGCAAAGTCAGAGCACATAGGCGGAATTAGCGAGAAACTAGTCCGCCTTCCTTCTGGAACCCGTGCATTTTGGTCTCTCGCCAAGGCTGTCCAGGGGAATTTCTGTCAGCCATCTTTTCCATCTCTGCACAGGGAGGACGACTCACTGGCCCATACCGCAAAGGAGAAAGCCGATCTTCTAGGCTCTTTCTTTGCGTCCAACTCGACTCTCGATGACGGGAGGAGTACGCCGCCGACCATCCCGCGGTGTGAGTGCTCCATGCCGGAAGTGCAGTTCACACAGCGCTCGGTTCGCAAAGCACTCCTCTCCCTGGACATCCACAAGTCGAGTGGGCCTGACAGAATCCCTCCAATTGTGTTGAGGACGTGTGCTCCAGAGTTCGCACCGGTTCTAACTCATACTCTACTCATACTCCCTAGGCGTAGTCCCAAAATCATGGAAGACAGCTTTCATCCATCCGATCGCTAAAAAAGGCCGACCGCTCAGATCCATCAAACTACAGGCCTATTGCCATAACCTCCTAGTTCTCCAAAATAATGAAATCCATTATAAACTGCCAGCTCACGTAATACCTTGAGGATCACCAGCTGATTAGTGACCGCCAATACGGTTTTCGTCGGGGCCAATCAGCTGGTGACCTACTGGTCTACCTGACTCATCGATGGGCGGAGGCAGTAGAGTCCAAGTGGGAGGCATTGGCTGTTAGTTTAGACATTGCGGAGGCCTTCGATCGAGTTTGGCACAAAGCGCTTCTTTCGAAGCTCCCTTCCTATGGGCTTTCCGAGAAATAGTGCAATTGCATCACCAGCTTTCTTAAAGATCGGAGAATCAAGTTTGTTGTAGACGGTGCATGCTCCGATTACAAGCCTATTAATACTGGCGTTCCACAAGGCTGTGTGCTATCAACAACGCTGTTTCTTCTGCATATCAATGATTTGTTGCAAACCGGCTATGCGGATGACAGCACTGGTGATGCTCTGTGTACCGGCCGTGCAAATATTTTTCGGGAATTTCTAGTTCAATTTAACTCTCAGAAGACACAAAGTGGCGCGATAACCGCTTAAAAGAACGCCTTTGTGGTATCTCCTCAATTTCAAGGTGCTCCCCTTGTAGCCTCAGCCAGTATCGGAATCCTCGTACGACCTCTTTGTGGATTAGTTTACCACCGGCGATTTTTCCGTACCGATACGACATAGGGACTGTCAAGAAAAGAGCTTACTCCTTTCTAAAAGGCTGGCAACGCGTCTGCAATTCCTCTGATGTTGCAGTTGTTCATGGGCGGCGGGCGGCATTCTTAACATCAGGTGAACCGTATGCTCGTTTGCCCCCTCTCCTATAAAAAAAATAGTCGGAGTTTAAATATTCATTTACGTTTTATATAATCTGCGTCAAATCAGAAGACAGGAAAATTCTGCAATTGGTATAAATAATTGAAGTTGAGGCAGGAAACCGCCGCCCATGTATCAACCGCAACACCAGGAGAATTGCGGGTGCGTTGCCGGCCCTTTAGAAAGGAGTAAGCTCTTTTCTTGAAGGTCCCCAGGTCGTATCGGTCCGGAAAAATCGCCGGTGGTAAACTATTCCACAGAGAGGTTGTACGCGGAAGAAAACTAAACGGAAGCAAAATTTGGAGTAGGGCAACGGAACCCTAGGGGCCAGCAGCTGGCTGACTTAATGGAGAAAGAGGGACTCTTTATGATGAACTCTTTCTTCCAGAAGCGGCCCCAAAGGAAGTGGACCTGGTCGAGCCCCGACGGTTCGACAAAA